AGACAGACAGAGAGACAGAGAGACACAGAGACAGATAGACAGATAGACAGATAGATGGATGGACAGATGGATAGCTAGACAGACATACAGACAGACAGATGGGAAGACAGTTCGACAGATAGGCAGATAGGTAGACAGAGAGCTAGATGCAGCTCAAGTCCCACCGCCAAGCAAGCAAAGACAGAAAGAGACAGTGCGTATCTGTGTTTTTTTACATGATTAACCGCTTGTGTGTGATTTCCGGCCTGTTTGCAGATCTTGACATTACCGGTTCACCAGTTGCATGGCCCCTGTCTTGCCTAGCAAACCTGAGCCTTTGCGGGGCTTACTGTAGGCGCTATACACACTAACATGTTTGAATGCTTTAGCTTGTTGTGTATACGGCCTACATTCGCAACTAAACCTCTTCGGGATTAGGGTTTCTAAATCCTGCACCGCCTAGGAGTTACATAGGGCTTATACATTTGCAAACCCAAAACCCTGAGTACGAGGTGCCAAAGATCATCCAGAGCTTGGAAGGGACGCTTTGGCCGGAGGAGGCGGAGACGTCAACTTCACATGTTTTGGACAGGGCTGCAGGATCTATCATAACTATATTTCTCTAATGATGCCAGGGGTGGACGCTTAGCCCCCCCTAGAAAAGAGGAAAAGCGATGAGGTATGGAGTATACAGTATACGGTGCTCTTATGGAGAATGCAGTATTTCAATTCATCAGGACGAGATGGCGGTTTGCCAGTCCTTGTTGGGCCTGTTGGCAACTCAAGGTCTCTCTTGAGATCCCCTGTACCGGGAAACTCTCAGATCAACCTTGTCAGACTTCTCTTTTTCCATAGTTTATACCAGACTGTAGCCGAAGGCCCTTATTTTCGGTTACTCTGATCCCTATGCGTTGCAGTCCCGGCCTGTCAGACTTTCCCCGTTTCCATCGCAGAACCTGCCGAGAGAGCGACGGGCAACGTCCGGCAGTGCACGAAGGCCGAGCAAGTTCCCTCCTTCCTCAACAACATGGGTCAGTCCTATTTCTCCCAGCTGACGCAGGACCGGGTGCGGGGTTATTGTGTGAATGGCAGTCGCTGCGGATGTAATCCCGTTTGAGAGAATAGGATCGATCCTCGCAAAGCTTGGAGTTGCTCCAACCGAGTCAGGTCTTTAACTTGGTTTGTCTTCGGACCTTGAGATGTTGGGTCTTCTAGTAAAGGATATAACATTCGCCATAAGGGTGGGCTCCATGGGACGTGTTGTGTCTGCAGCAGGTCATGTTCTGTTTCGCGTGTGCAGATAGACATGTAATGGCCTTTGCTGGATGCAGGAGGCTGAATGGCGGATGTTTCTGCCGGACCGCAATGTCGTGAGGCCAGGATGCGTTGGTTTGCAGGTAATTACTAGCGGCATGCTTGCGCCGCTGCGTATGTGTGGAATTTGTGGAGGAATCCTACACTTTGCCGATTAAGACGTCGCCAAAAATCCGCAAGCTTTCTGGACTGGCTCGGGGTTTCGATTTCCGAGGTGACTTACCATCCGTCGTGCTGTTTACAATCTGCACCAATCAGTCCGCCGAGTCAGGCTTCATCGAGGTCAGGTTTCCTAAGACTGTTGTGGACTTGCTGGCACTGTTTGTTCCTCACAGCGAGAACGTTTCCCCCGATGAACAGTAACAAGACCACTTGATATATTTTATGAGTACATACACATACACACATGCAAGTATGTACGCACCTGCTACGTCTGTCTGTCTGTTTGTCTGTCTGTCTGTCTTTCTGTCTGTCTGTCTGTCTGTCGGTCTGTCTGTCTGTCTGTCTGTCCGTCGGTCTGTCTGTCTGTCTGTCTGTCTGTCTGTCTGTCTGTCTGTCTGTCTGTCTGTCTGTCTGTCTGTCTGTGTCTGTTGTGTTTGTTTGTTTTTGTTTGTTTGCTTGCTTGCTTGCTAGCTTGCTTGTTTATGTGTTTATATGTTCGTTTTGTAGTATATGTATATGAGTATGTGCATGTATAAGTGAAATATATATATATATATATATATATAACAACAATAATAATCATAATCATAATCACAATAACAACAGATAACACGAATCACAATAGTAGTAATCATAAACAATGAAAATAACACGTATACAATTATACGTACGCATGTATGTACCTCGAGGCAAGGGATGGAGGGCAACGCCTTGTTTCTGCTGTGCTACGGATGGGCACTCAGGGGCTCAGAGTCTGTCAAGCATCTTCAGCAAAGGAAGCGCTGGAACTGCCCCCCGCCGTCGAGTGGACGGGGTCGCCGTACAGTCACTGTTCAACGCATACATCTGTTTTTTCGCTGTTCGACCTTCTGCCCTAGCCTCTTTACCTCGCTGGCTCGGAAGTTCATGTCGCGATGTTCACTGACAATTACATACAGTTGACAAAGTTGTCATTCGCGGCTGCAGCATGGCTTGCATGAGCTTGCACGCCTTCCCCCTCTGACATATTCCGTCGATTTAGATCCCCATATCTTGCGTTGCTGTAGCAAGATGCAGTATGTCTGCAGCAAGTCTAGCATCTTTTAGTGTCATGACGACCGTAAACTCCGAACCGTACAGCCCCAAAGCCTACCTGAACCCTCAAACCCTCAATCCTCTACCCGAGGGAGCCTGAGCTTTAAACCCTAAGCCGTGAAAGAACCCTAAACCCTACCAAGAGGTCGAGCGATTTGTGCTGTCGATGATGTGGTGCTGGGCCAGCCGCTGGTGGGTCACCTAAAGGGCTTCGGAACACATTGGTCTCTATGTGAGTGTTTCTGAGAAAAAGGTAAAGGCTTTACTTTTCCATTGGTTTTTTCAGCAGCTGGAGATGTTTGGGTCCGCGAGTCCGCGCCTCCGGGCCTCTTGCACGCAGCCCGGCCCAAGGCTCGTGGTGAGGTGGTTGGTCGCGCCAATTTCCTGGGGCTGAAGCCACGCTACGGGGTGACGGCCGGGCAGCGGGAGCAGCATAAGGTGTTCGTGTCTTATGCATCCGTCGTAGTATGTTACGGTATGTTGAAGTGCAATTAAGCAAGGCTCTATGTGCGGCGAGTTCTGCACGACAGTGTACGGATGTGTCTTGTCCCTCGGCCCTAGGACGGTTCCAAGACGCACACTACAGCGACCCCTGTTTCATGTTCCTTCTCCGAAAAGCTGCATGACTGATGCTGCGATACTACAAGTAGCATACTACTCGTCTTGATCAGAGCGGCACTCCAGAGAAAAGTAGCGAGGCCCTTGATTATTCTTGTTGTCTGCTTTGTTGTTCCAACGATGTGTTATGTTCAGGACTTGTGATGTCGATCATGAGCAACTGATGGCTTTGGTAATTCATGATGATTTCGCCTTGATGATGATGATGATGATGATGATGATGATGCAATGACGATGATGACGATGACGGCGATGGTAGTAGCGATGACGATGATCCTTGGTTGGTGGCAAGGACGAGGATCAGAAGTGAGGATGACCGTGATGGCGACGTGATGGCGACGAGAAGCAGCCATTGGCAGGTCAAAGCCCAGACGGTATGTCATTTCCGCTGACTTCTCAGAGTGGATCACATGTCTGGTAAGAATCACAACGACGAACCCTGACAACTTGATGTATTCGGGGTTCAGTCGGGTTTGCTGGTGGAACTATTCGCCCTAAGCCTTTTAAACTTGAAGCCCGAGCCCTCAAACCCCCTGAATCCCTTTGTGGGGCCTTGCATTGGGTCCAGACGCCTGTGCTTGCTGAGGTGTCATTACGCACGAGCAGCTATTGGAGTGCTACCAGCATGTTTTGGAATAGTCTACTAAGTTTTCATGCTCGGTAAGGTTTGGCGTCTCAAACCCTAAAACCATAAACCTGGCGTCTCCGATTCTTAAAGGGTTGAGAGGTTTGACGTTTGGACTTTACTGATCAAGGCTTAGCAGGATCCCCCCTCAATCCTGAACTCTACTGTGCTCGAAGCCTTGCGGCATTCGGCCAGGCTCTTGACGTCGCAGCTCGCGTTGCGCGAGTGGTTCGAGCTTGCGAAGCTTCAGGCGCACATCCCCTACTTGGAGGTTCAGGGGTAGTTATAAGTGGAGTTATAAGCCTCCTAATATAGGTTATAACTATAGTTACCCTGCTTATAATCCTACTTATAACTACCCATGAACCTCCAAGTAACCATGGCCCACACGGATCACTTGCGCTGTATTTGGTCGTGTTTCCGCCTGCTGATCAGCAGAGGGTCCGGCTTGAGCCAGTACCCTAGTTTCTGGGGGTTTTAGGGGTGTTGGAGTTTTGGTGTAAGCCAGTCCGGAGCGTTAGCAACGACAGGGACAACCACAATGATCATAGCAAGAGTAATCAGGGCGACAACAAGTATATAAATGGCAAGAACTTTAGTAGCAAGCCAAACAACAACAGCAATAAGACTGACGATAAATAATGACAAAATTGTATGACATAGGGTAGTAAAGGGCAATGAGGTGCAATATGAGACCTGCGTGCCTCTCTGTCGCTGTCGCGCTTCCTCCCTGCCTACCTGCACAGAGCAAGTCTAGACGATAGCCGTGTGCATATGAGTTGACACCCACCCATACATGTGTCACACATATTTGTATGTATGCATACAGGCTTACCTCGTACCGGTAGCAGCTTTGCTAGTCTGCTCTCCCCATGAGTGCCATGCAGGTCAGGAATTTCACCGAATACGACCATGAGAGGCAGAAGGCCCCCTGAACCGACGGGTTTCTTGCTGTTCTGGTGCCACGGGGGACTGGAATTTCGGGTCTTTATTCTGGGTTAATACAGGGGCTACTATAATACCATACCGGATAAAAGGGTTCTTTAAGAAGGGTTTCTACTCGACGATTGAATGAAGGTCCCCGTTTCTCAACACATCGAGAATCGTGAGTTCGGAGCTGCCCATGACCAGAGTACGGCTTTTCGCAGGACCTAACGCCACACACAAGGAACCTATACTTGGGGTATGGGTCCAAATATCAGTGGGATTTCCAGAAAACACCATTTTGTGCATCGTCAGATCCTCATTTGATGTAGCCTTGTGTATGATGACTAGGGTTTGGGGGTATTTTATACTATNNTATAATAAGGAACCCCCAAAATGCTGCATCATCTTGCAGACCGTGGCAGCGTGCTCAGTGAGCCAGCCAGGCTGTTAAGCTGATCTGCTCGACATAGGTACTAAAAATGCGTTCCCTGCTCGGGCCCTGACGTATTACAGGGGTGACGCACAATTTTTTCTAAAGAACCCATTGCTGTGGACCCGGACTCCTTTTGCAGGTCGAAGTTTTCCGGGCGAAGCTCAGGCTGACTTCAGCAAGCCAGGGGTGCTTCTTTCGGATCCATTCACAAGCTCTTGCCAATTTGGCTGCACCCTAGCCCTGATCTTTAAACCCGCAGTCCTGAAAGCTTCTGTGCCACTCTGTCTGAATCAGTGGGCCTGGATGCGATATGGCGACCATTGTTTGTAAGGGCTGGTGCCGCTTTCGATGTTTCAAAGCCTTGCCAGCTTCGGCATACAAGCGCAACAATCCTGGTTCGGGAGTGGGATATAAAAAGTATATTTCGAATATCCTTGACTCGGCCCGTATGTTGGGGGCTCGAGTAAAACCCCCCCCCCCCCCCATTTAATTTGGCCTTTAGGGCGTGAGGGCTTAAGTTCCAGGAGTTTGGACTAGACTAGAGTTTAGGTTCAGGGTTGTGTGTTCAGGCTCGACTGAGGCTTCAGGGTTCAAGGGCTGTGGGTTTGGGTTTGGGGCTTTTCAAGCAGTAGGCCGTTGGGTTTGGGGTGCTTGGGGGCCTGTGTTTTCAGTGTGTAGGGTTGTGCTAAACTGTTCGACGAGCTGAAGTGTACAGTTGCTCAGCCATGTTATCACTTACGATAGTGTAACCTTCCGCGATGCCGTAATGGACAACGTGTACCGTGACATACGACCAGATGCAGCAATGCACTGGAACTCGATGATCTTTGTAATACTGTGCGACGCTCTTTGCACCAGGCGGCGAACGGACCGCGCCTGGCGAAAGCACGCACATGGCTCAGAACAAGACATCCCTGCTCTTGCTTTGAGGAGCGAGGAGAGGTAATGGCTGAATGAGTAAGACAGGTTGAGGTTCGGGTTCGTTGAAATTAGCGGTTCTCATGAAGATGACGCGATGCTCCATGCAAGGGCTTTTGTCGACTTGTTGGTGTGTGTGTGTGTAGGGCTTAGAGTTAAGTAGGTTCATGCTGAATGTCACCCCTTCTTCAAAAACAAGGATCTTGTTGTTACGTCCCTGAACATAGGGGGGGCTGTCGTTGACCAGCGGCCTAGATGTCCCTTAAGAACATCTACAGCACTTCAGCCGTCTTACTTCAGACGGGTTCCTGCACGAGGTTCAAGATGCTCGCGCTGCTCGCGCTGCAAGGATGGCAGGCCTGGCCATTGTCGCTGCAGCACATAATGGTGGATGATAGCAGGGCATGAATATGTAGTCTAGTGTATTAGTTATGGTTGGTATAGCATGTCATGACATGACATTTAGGGAAGCTGGATGTGAACGTGCGCCGCCAACCTCCAGAATCAGCCGCTAAACCGGCAAGCAGCAAGAGCTGTAAAGCTCCGCATCAACGGATGTTATGAGTTTAGACTTAAACCCTAAAAATAGGTTTGGGCGGCTTGGCCGCCTGACACGGCGTGGGATGGGAAAGAAAAAAATAAGAAACCCTCTATAGACAGGATTTCTCGGCCCGTCGCATAGTACGATGCGCTCGAGACAGCCTTGTCGCAAGACCCCATCGCCTCAGCGCAAAATTCCACGGCAAGCCCTAATTAGCCATAAACCATACAGAAAGGACTGCGCTGACACAGCATCCCACTAGTGAGCCTGGAGGCCGTGGTCTTCCGGCCGCTCCTGTGGGCGCCTTGTGAGTTAAGTGCAGCAGGCTCTGGGAGCTATTTGTAGAGGTTTCGGGTTTAGGCTTTAGGGTAAGAGTGTAGAGATTCGAGCTTAAGAGAAAAAAAGCCAGCAGCAGCGGCATGCAAGATCGGCGAGACATGAGTCCAGGTGACAGAGGCCACTGAGAAGGAGGAAGATCAGGATGCTCATCGCAGGTGCGCTGCTGAAGTGTGGAGTTATGCACCCGCTCGCCGCTCGCCATTCCAGACATTATTCGGAGACTCCTGAACCTGAAGCCCTGAACTCCTGGACCTGAAACTCCGAACTCCTAAACTCCGACTGAACCCCAAACTCCGACCCACTGGAAGCTGGATTTTGTCTAAGCCGTTTTGGAACCGGAAGGTCCGACACGCTGACCTCGCAAGCCGCAGGCCAGCTTCCTCCAGGGGGCGTCTGGTCTCGATGGCATAATTTAATTTAGGGTTCCGTAATATTCCGTCTAAAAGGTTGATATCATAAGAGTTGCTATCAGTGTTCCAATTATGTTTTCTACAAGAGTTTCTATTGGTTACGAGGTGTACCACAAGGATTACAACAGGGGTTTAGGAATATGAAGGCCTGCATAGCTGCCGGTTTCCTGAAAAAAGTTATAGCATAATAGAGCCCCAATCCCTGTAGATTGCAAGTATTAAGTGCCCCATAAGGCACAGATCCCAAAACCTTAAGCCTTTGAAGCTCCCGCCCTACACCCTCAGATCCTAAACCTGGGTAGCTGTAAACAGTTATGTGAACCCTAGAGCCCTGCACCGACCCTTAAATCCCAATACCTGCAAACCTTTTAAGCGCAAGCCCTTAAGCCCTAAACCCGATTGCACTGCTGACACTCCGCCTTGTGGCGAGGAGATGGCGAGCGCAAGGACAGGGCATCTTCGAGTGTTTTCCTTGCAATCCCTACAACCGTCGTCGAGAACCGGTATCATGGTTTAGGGATTAGGGTGTAGGATTTAGGGCCTACCTAAACCTCCAAATGTAGGTAAAGTACTGGCCCAACACCCATAATCGGCCATTATTCCACACACTTTGGGGGTCCAGGTGGGTTCAGAGCTTCAAGGTTCAGCATTCAATCGCAAGGCAGTGAGTCCGCGTCGTTTGCTTCGCCTCAGGACAGCTTCACTCTCGATGCCGTTCCTCCCAGGCAGGCGCAGACGATGATGGCAAGCAGCATCTCAAACCCTAAGACACTTTTTGAATCCTATACCCTATAGAAAACCCTATAACACATGCGGTCCCCCTCCCTACATTCAACCCTCACAAAGCAGGGGTCCAAGGCCCAGACCTGACCCTCAATCTTCCAAGGCCTTGAGCCTTGTGAGTTCTTTTTGAATCCCAAGCCTCAGAGAGCCAGATCCGATACCGCCTTTGAGGTCCTTAATTGAGTTTCATAGGGTTTATCCGAAACCCTTTAGAGAACCCAAGCCTGAACCCTCAACCTCAATCCGCAAGAACACGAACCCCGCAAGCCCCACGAGCCTGAAGAGAGTGCGTGCAGCAGGCCTGTGCCAACTGCAGGCTGGTCGTTTGATTCATTCGGGAGTTTCAGAAGACAAGGGTTCCGGGTCTGGGGTTGGGGTTTAGGTTTTTCGGGGTGTCTTATTTGCCGGGTCCTTATATTGCAGATCCTACTGATCAGGGTTCTTTGTGTTGGTCCCGTATTCTCTGAGACACAACCTTGCATTGAAATTGCCGGTACTCACTTGATGGATTTTAGTGGGGCTTTCAGGGTCTAGTGGCTTAGGTGTTGGGTTCTAGGGTTTAGTGTTTTGTTGCGTAAGGTTTCCGGGTCTAGGGTCTGGGGTTTTAGTCGTTGTGATTTCAGAGCTGTACGGTCTGTGGAAACTGTTTTGCTCGGTGCAGGTTCCCTCAGCCTTCAAATTCCAAGCGATCGCGAGGACATCGAGGCCAGATGGCGGAAAAGGTCCTGCACATGACACCCCGCTAGAAACCTGCAACGCACTAGTAGAAACCTAACAAAGAAGCCCGAACAAAGCTATTTCTCAAGGTCGCTGGTTATAACTTTAGTATAATGATTTACCCTCAGGCCCGATTCCACAGGTCCTTATGCAATTTTCGAAATCTTGGAGAGTCTAAACATGGGTGGCTTGCCCTGACTGTTGATCATCGGAAGCTGACAGTTCGACCTCGCCAGCGCCCTGTGCTGGCCTGAGAGCTACAGAAGGCAGGGCCGCTGGACACGCAACGAGAGCCTAGGTCCGGGTTTTCCGGGTCCGACGATGAGGCCGAGGCCCCTGTGGTGAGTATACGCACAAGAGACACTATGTCAAAACGCGTTGTGGTCAACAGGAAGCTGACGAACGGAGCCTGTGGAGGACGATCCTGTACTTACTGCGAGATGGAACTACATCGAAGCTATAGTATGTATACTTGGAGTTCGTGCAATCCGCGGCTCGAACATCCAGGAGCCACCACAACGCGCTTCCGAAGCCAGGGAAGCCAGGCACGTGGGGCCTCATTTAGGGTTTTCTGTTGGTCGCTTCTTGTCACATTGGATGGTGAGGCTTGGGAAAGCACGGCTCGATTCGTATACTGCAAAAGCCGGCAACTCAGAAATCCGATTGTTTTCGCATATCCACATGACATGGAGCCTGCTTTGAATGTACACCCTCCGAAGTTTGATTTCCCACTACAGCCTCGACATGCCATTTCGAAGGCGACTTCCTGGCAAAGGCCGCCACGCTGCCTTCTGCCGTGCCTCCGTGGATGCGAGCACGTGATGGTATCTTGAATATGCTCTTGGACTCGTGGTGTCGTTGTGCAAACCAAATGACGTGACCTTATTGATTCGATTGTGTTGTGTCACGGCACATCACTGTCACATTTTTTGTCTCAGCCACGACGGTGCCAGGAAGCTGGAAGTTCTCGAAGGGCAACACTGGCATCAAGGCGTTGGCAGATCCGGTTGTGGTTGTCCCTGGTTTGGTTTCCCGGGTTTGGGGTTCATGCTCTTAAGGGTCCAGGAATGCTGATTTAGAACCATCGCCACTTCTTGATCTTGGTGTCTAAGCGCAGTCGATTTCCTGCGATGGCAGAGGCACTGCAAGAAAGATCCCTGTCTCTTGCTCATGGACTTTCTGTTAGACCTCGCGTCTGCAGATCTGGGCTTCTGCTGAATGCTCTGCTTGCTGTACATGCTTTGGCTCGCCTTGTCGAGGCAGCCATCCACGAATTTTGCCGGGAGAAGGAAAAGGAGCCTTGATTCCGGTTTTGCTTGCCTCAGTCTTGAACATCTCAGCTAATCCCCCCCTCCCCCCTCCGCCCCGGCGCCCTGAATAGTGTGATGGTCTTGTGCTCCTCAGGCCCAGTGCCGAAAATGCGTCAAATCCTTCAAAACCCAGTCTCAGGCCCATTAGAATCATCGAAAAGTCTGCAAACCCCTTCAATATCAAGCCTCAGGCCTATACAAACTGTAAAGAAAACGCTCCGAAAATTAAGCCTCAGGCCACTCCTTCCTTACTCAGAGCAGATTGACCATGAGCAGAAAGGAAGATATGCAACTACCAAAACAGGGAGATTTTTTGGTGCATTATAAGAGTGCACCCCCACCAAGTGCCAAATCCTGAGTAAGTCTCGGGGATAAACGAAATGAGGAAAGGTTGCAGGCTCAACCCAGTGCCACGCTAGTTGCCACTAGGGCGTCCATGGTCGTTGGAGTTTACCGGCATGCTAATTGTCATGCTTACGATCATAGTGACACTTAGTTTCGGTCAGAGAGTCACCATGTGTGTATACAGATAGAGAGAGAGGGGGAGAACACGTGTATGACTGCATATGAGCTCCCCAGGACCGCTTGAAAGGCAGGTTGCTGCGCATCATGCGGAACGACTACACGACTGGTCGCTGCCTCCGATAGCCACGTTTTTGGTTGATCTGGAGTTAGGATATGGATTTTGGCAGTATTTTGTGGCTATAGGACCATTTAGGCTCTAGTAAATGCGAGTCTACGGTTTGGGTTTCAGGGTGCTGGTGTGTTTGTGCAAGACATGGGCATGACTTCAGGAAATCTGATGTTCTGTAAGCCCCTAAACCCGACAAATCCTACAGCCGCCAAAGCCCCCGCCCGAAACCAAGCACATCCACGAGGTGAAGCCACCCTGGATGATGACGACGACAGTGAGGAGTCCGAAGACTTCGAGTTGCCACCGGCGGAGGCACAACCATCGGAGCTTGTTGAGAGCTATAAAGTCTCGGAATAAGTCTGAACGCATGGTTTTCAAGACATTTCTGCATGTTCTTTACCGCCGCTGTTATGATGAAGATTAACATCGGTATCGTGTAAAACAGCCTATGATCATGCGTACAAAGCACAGCTCCCCAAGAAGCCCTGAACCCGTAAAGCCCTAAACCCTCACACCCTGACAGTCCTGAGTCCCTGTGAAACGAGCCACATCGCGGCGTCAGGTGCGGGTCGTGGCCCGGGTACGCAACTTGCCCAAGCAGCTCGGGGCCTAGTCCATGGCAATCTTTCAAACTTCTACACTATACTGTAGTATATACTATAAGATATACTGCACTATACTCTATCATTACTACCAGACTATACGATACTGGCTAAGAATCCAAGAAGCAGAGAAGAGAATGATGGAGCCCGGTCGGGCCCACCAGAGGCCCGAGCCGCCGCTGGATGACAACAGCTTCCCTCAAAACACCATCGTGAGACAGCGCATCTCGGATGGTCGCATTCCAGAACCTCCCGCCAATCCGGTTGGCTCTATATGAGTACAGATAAGCAAGATGGCTGCTTTTGTATACTGACCATGTCGCCACGACGAGTCCAGAGACTTCGTGAGAGGCACGCCTTTCAGACCTCCTCCGGCCAGGATACTCGTAACGTCGGACAAGATCGTGACGCATATGCAAGCTCAGAGTTCAGTGCTGCTGCTTCTGCTGCTGCCTGCAATGAATGCTGCAAGGCTCAGCAAAGAAGAGCTGCAGCGGCTGGATCAACTGCTGCTGCTCAGCTGCACTCTCGCTGGGCACACTAGACCTCGATTCTATAGCGGCATGCTTCAGGAACGCAGTTGCTGATCGCAGTCTAGTTCCCCCGCAAAAATCTGGCATGCCGAATTATGACCGAGAGTAGAACGTGCCAACGGTGCCGCAGAGTTGTCCCTTCTCTCAGTCCGTCTTTGCCGTCGAGCGACCCGAAGGCAGGGAGTTCCGACTTGTAGCACCGACTGCCACTTCGTCTTTGCGGATTCATGACAGATGCAGGAATTGATGCCGGAATCGCCACGCGGTCTTGGGTGGTGACCTTAGAACCAGAAAAGCTACAGGCATTCACCTTCGTCGGTATGCAAACAGCTGAGAGGTTTCGGATCTTGACCTCCCCCTACTGTAGCAGCTGAACGCCCTGAAGCCCCAAGAGCACATGTCTCGGGACTTGCTCTTGACGCCTGCTACATCAGGCAAGCGCTGCAGCGCAAGTTCGCGAGACTAACGCAGGTGCTGCCCTGAATGGACTTGCAGTGTTGCCCTCCGAACTCGAATGGGCCGGAATCGGAGCTGCTTCTTGCCTGTCTCCAGAAATCCACAAGCTGACCGAACTAGCATTACCCTCTCCCCTATACTGAAGCTACGTATAAAAAGATATCCTGAAAAGAGACGTGCGCACAACTTGCAGTCGCGACGCACACACCCAAAAGTTGATCCGTCTTGATCATGATTCGTGTAGCACAGTTGGAGCACCATGCCCTCGTTCTGGTGGTATTCCGACACGCTTTATGCAAGGGCATAATACAGTAGGATCAGTAGGATCGCTTTGCCGTGTCTGTGATGTCTAAAGACTGTTTTGCAGAATGGTCTGGCATACGTCGTATTGACTGATGTCACATGATTCTTGCGTATGGCCCGGGCACATTCTGGAAATTGTTTGGTCAACCTCCTTGCTGCGGCTGTCTTCTTTTGGCTTTGCGGCTGCTGAGTCATACCAAACTCTGTAGCTCGCCTTGCTGTCGGCGTGGCTGTTATCGGCATCACCTTTTGTGGAAAAGCTTCAGACAGGTGCCATCACGTCGCAAAGGGTTGTGAGGCACCGATTGCTCATCTGTACATTCTGTACATACATAGATCGTCACGTGCTGATTTTGGGCATATTGTGAAGAGACCTAAGAGAGTACCAGTGAGAATGCTCTGGAGCGAAATCAGCGGTGGCTTTAACGCAAGGTCATCACTCAAGGTGAGGGCTCCCGTGTTGCAGTGAGTAGGCTGTGCACTGCTTGGTTCATTTGGTATAGGTATAGGTGTCAAGGGTCAGGGCACAGCCGAAGCAACACAGTCTGGAGGTGGTAAGCACGATGGGCCAATAATGCGTCATGTTGACCCAAGCATGGCAGCAGTTAAACTTTTCGATCCAACGCGATGGAAGCTGGTTCCCGTAATGTAGGAGCATTCAGCATGTGCATCTCTGAATGCATACAGTCCTGAAATGCAGTATAGAGCCGAGCCAGCACCTGCTCACCATGGCCCAAGATGATACCTTTCCAGACTCTCTTTTCACCTTGTTCTCGTTGCAGCAGCGCTTCCTTGGATGCGTGAAATGCAGCAGCCGTGCCGCAGACGCGAGAGATTGTATGCTTGCTTTGCTCGCGTCGAGCATTGTGACACGACCTAAACTGAGTTGTGAGACCTGTTGTGAGACCACCAGTCTTGAGCAAGGGGTTGCAGGCAAGGTCCCTCCACCAATTCGACAAGGAGAAAGCCACTAACTGCAGCGTGACAGTTCCGGGCGGCATAGTAGAAGCCTCTGTCACTCTCACTCCAGATTCGCCAGCCGCAGCAATGTGACGGGAATATCAAGCCAGTCTAGCCACAGCCATTTACACTTACGCAGCCGCGGGAACGACTCAACTCGGCCCTGCGCATGTAGATATGGGTATGCTTCATGGCATTGGCGTCACCCCACTTTTGAGACCATGCTAAAGGGCAGGCGAGATAAGTTCGGACCATATCTTGGTGGCTTTATGCAGCAATGCGTCCGCGTTTTGCGGGGGATGGCCTACAGTGGGCGATGGTGAAGATCATGTTGGCTAAGAGGCCGGACCAAGTGTGTTGGGTGCTGTGTGAGTGAAGTGTAGAAGTGCTACGGTGTCTCTTTTGATTTCAGCTTCTAAATTACGTAGACGATCTCCATACCAGTTTTGACGAGCCAGTTTTGCTTACCTGATGAGTCTTCCTTTCGATCGTCTCTTGAGGCTGAACTGGCGCGATTGACGGCGGGACAGCTGCAATCCACAGCCACCGAACTTGTGCTGACCTTGAAAACAGATGCCAGCACTCTCTCGTTGGAAAGGGTATGTCATTTGAGCTTGATGAGAGGACGTGCTGTAGCCGGCAGCCCCTGTAGCTAGTAGCTGAGTCCGTCCTGCTGCCTTTGTGCGGCTCGGCTAACAGTACCTCGTTGATCTCCACAAGACCATCCAGGACGAGGTCGTTTGGAGTGCTGTCTCTCGTCGCGGTGCATCCAGCGGTGGCTTTCCAGGAACCTGGAGCACCTTCCAGCGATGACTATTTCAAAGGAGTACGAATCCATCTGTAGTGATGGCTGCAATGGCTGCCTGAGCGTATTTAAGTGCGAGTCGCTGCCCATTCTGCCATCCTCCCTTGATGTGAGTGCCTTGCTTTCGTGCGAGAGCTTGGCCGAGAGGATTCGGCCAGCATGAAGCGTGATGGATTGCTGCCCACGCCTTTCTAGGCTGCGGCTGCGGCTTGAGAGTGGCCCGAACTGCTCACTGCCAGCTTCCCAGCTTTTGCTTCTCCCCCACATATGCGGGCGGTTGAAGCGCAGGTGAAGAAGACAGGTTGTTGTCATCGGAGCTGCTACAGAGACTTCGCTTCTCCATGACGCGCCTTGGCAGAAGAGGCAACTTTCGCAAGAGAAAGTTGCCCCGGGCGATGTGCATGGACCAACCGCGGGTTTTCGTCGCCAAGCTTGCCATCTGCAGCACAGACCAGCGAAGCCTCCACGGAAATGGCTGTGGCCGTGGCCGCGGCTTGCCGTTGGCCCCAGTCATGTCCACATGTACTGAGCCACCCAACAAGTCTGTCGTGTTGCGATCTTAGTCGACCAGCCTCTCTGACCTTGA